TAATCATCAAATTTATACTAGCTATATGGGTGTTAGCATACCTAGGAATTATGAGTCAAGAATAATTTTTACATATTTTTATATTATTATCCTCTGTTATTGAATGGATGGAAAACAATCATGTTGGTTTCAATGTTGTCAATTTTTGTAAAATAGAAACTTTGAACACTTTCCAGCATTACAAACTGTCCACAGACTGGGAAAGGCAGTCTCGTTCTCCTGGGCGTGGTTTTGTTTGCTTACCATTAACTGGGGTTTTTAAGCCATGAAATCACTGTGCTACTGTGTATGGGCCGGTTAAAGTTCTCTGTCCTTTGGTTTTAATGTGATATGTCATTAGTGGTTTTAATTGTTTTTTGTTTTTCCCCAAAAGATCACTCTGCATTTCCTCCCCTGCCTAACATGAACAGTACTTTCTTTTTTGAAAGACTTTAACCTGAGGAGAAAATCAGTCTGTGGTCTGTGCTGTTTCTTAGCTTTCACCACTGATTGTTACTTTTGCAGCCTCAGTCCAAAACTGTTTGTTACCTTCATTTTGATTATGTCTATTACAATTCTAATATTTTCCTTTAATCAAGAAATCCAATAAAATCTCATGTGTAAATTAAAAGATTTTCTAAGTTACATGCATCTTTTTTATATGCATTTATTTATTTGGAGGGGATGTGGAGTATGTACATGGTAAACCATGTGTGCAGAGGTCAGAGAACAAATAAGTTAGGTGGTCAGTTCTCCTTCCATGTGGGTCCTGCCTGGGGTTCAAACTCAGGTGGCCACGCTTTAATCCCAGCACTCAGGAGGCAGAGGCAGGCAGATCTCTGTGAGTTGGAGGCTGGCCTGGACTACAGAGTGAGTTCCAGAACAGTCAGGGCTACACAAAGAAACCCTATCTCAAGACAAAAAGAAAAACAAGAAAATTGGGTACTTTTTTTTTTTTTGGTTTTTTCGAGACAGAGTTTCTCTGTGTAGCTTTGCGCCTTTCCTGGAACTCGCTTTGGAGATCAGGCTGGCCTCGAACTCACAGAGATCCACCTGCCTCTGCCTCCCGAGTGCTGGGATTAAAGGCATGCGCTACCACCGCCCGGCAGGTACTCTTTTTTTAATTGCAGGAAGCTTTTGTTCCTAGAGTGGAAAAGTAAATAATTATTTGTGGAATATAGTTATAATTGAAAAGGTAGAAAAATTGGAAGTGGAAGAAAATGGGCCAAAGAGAGGGAGCCTTGGAAATTTTCTGTTTGTGATGGGGAAGAAATATGTGACTCAACATATACATGGCCACAGCAATTTGTCCTCTTCTGTGTGGTTAAAGACCACGGTTTTCAAAGAGAAAGAAGGGGCCAGTAGGATGGCCAGGGGGGTAAAAAGACAGAGGCCGCCAAGTCTGATGACCTGAGTTTAATTCCCAGGAACTACGTGGTGGAGGGAGAACCAGCTCCCCAAGTGGTCTTCTCACTCCCTCTCACAATATGGCACACAAGCTCACGAGTGTGTGCGAACACACGCACACACTCCACACTCACAAAATAAAAACTTTTTTTAAATGTAAAAGAAAATGATCTTTAACATGAAAAGGTGCTAAGGGCCAGGGCCAGGGCCAGGGCTTCGTCCCTGCTACACAAGCCTGACTGCGTTTGACCCCAGGAACCCATGTCAAGGTGGAAGTTGTCCTTTGACCTCCACGCACACTCTGTGGAGTGTGCTCATCCACTAGCATGGTGATAAGACTTGGAGAGTGGAAGCAGGAGGATCAGGAGTTCAAGGGTAGCCTTGACTACATAGTGAGTCCAAGACAAGCCTGGGCTGCATGGGATTCTGACCAAATAAATAGGCTGGAGAGAGGTCCCAGTGGTGAAGAGCACTTGCTGTTCTTCCCGAGGACCAAAGTTTAGTACATGGCACCCATCTCAGGCGGCTCTCAAACACCTGTAACTCCAGCTCCAGGGGGTCTGACACCCCTGCGGACCACAGATATATACACATGCACAGTAATAAATCTTAATAAATGCTGGTCCTGTTGGTACAACGTCAGTCCGGGGTGTCCAAGATGAGCAGATCCAAAGTACAAGGCCTGCCTCACTTGAGAGAGTTCAAGACCAGCTGAAGGCTGGCCATGGTAGCACATGCCTTTAATCCCAGCACTCGGGAGGCTGAGGCACAGGGATCTCTGTGAGGTTTTTTGTTATTTGTTTTTTGAAATAGCCCTGGCTGTCCAGGAGCTTACTATGTAGACCAGGCTGGCCCTGAACTCAGAGATCTGCCTGCCTCTACCTCCAAGTTCTGGGATTAAAGGCACATGTCACCACACCCAGTTGATCTCTGTGTTTAAGGTCAGACTGTCTCAAAATAAAATAACAATCTTAAAAACAACAACAAAAACAACACCCAGCCTGGTAAATTTATAGAGACCATGTTTGGTGGGAATACTTAAAACTGAAGATAATAAACATAGTAAAAGACATTCAACCCAGGTGTGATGGCACACGCCTTTAGTCCCAGCACTTGAGAGGCAGAGGCAGGCCTAGTCTTCATAGTGAGTTCCAGGACAGCCTGAGCTCCATAGTTGAGACCCTGTCTAAAAAAAAAAAAAAAACCCAAAAAACAAAAACAAAAAACATTAGAATAGATGTGGGGGTGGGGTGGGGGCATGGGCAGTGTGCATTACAGGATTTTGCTCTGTAGCCCGGGCCTCCCAAATGCTGGGATTGCATGGAGGGCCACCATGACCAGTAAGTTTTTAATGGCTTCCTTGAATGACTGAATCATCTCTGACACCCACTTCCTGTTTGGTGGTGTAAATGCCCATGGTTAATAGAATCTGTTTGAAGAGATTTTCTTCCCTGATGTTGAAAACACCCTAATATTAGAAGCAGACTATAGGAAGAGTGGGTACCACTGGGCAAAATCACAGAATGATACTGACAGTGATAACCAGAGAAATGTCTTCCCAAAATAAAAAAACTCAAATTTATCTTTTGATTCAGAATCCTGTCTTTTTATTTTATATCTTACAAATGAAATTTTATGTGGCTATATTGTAAAACATGTAATGCGGGTAATCAATTCTGTGTAAGATTTTTAAATCAATCAATAGTTATTATAAAGGTTATGGAGCTAGGGATGCAGCTTGGTTGGATCCAGTGCCTCTGGTTGGCCTCCACAGATACCCGCACACACGCATATATACCCACACACAGATACACACACACATACAATCAATTTTTTAAAATCTTATTTAAAAATTTAGCAACAACAAAGGCATGAGGCTGAGTGTGGTGGCCCACTTCTGGTAAACCAGCACTTGAAGGCAAAACAGGCAGAAGCCAGGGGTTCCTGGCAGCCTAGACTCCAAAATGAGTTCCAGGATAACCTTTGCTACATAGTGAGACCCTGTCTCAAAACAGACACAAAGGACAGGAAAATCAAAGCTGTTTTTTGGTCTGGAGTCCAGGAGGAACAGAAGACTGCTTGGGACAGGTAAGGAGGTGTTTTATTTTTGGGATATAATCTAGCCTGGCCTCAAACTCAAGTGCTGGGGTTACAGGAATACTACTGGCCAGCTGGCATTGTAGGCCTGTAATTACAGCACTTAGGAGGCGGAGTCACATCAGGAGTTTGAGGTCATCATCTACTACACAGCCAGTTTGAGTCTAGCCTGGGCTGCATGAGATCCTGTCTCAACAAACAACAAAAATTATGCCCTACCACATCCAGTTTGGAAGGACCCAGGCTGGCCTTGAACTCACAGAAATCTTTCACCCGAGCACTGAGGTTCCAGGTGTGTGCCACCATGTTTTGTCCTGTGCGCACATTTATGTTCCCCCCTTATAAGGAACCCGTTACAATTAAGGCTAGCAAGAGGTGTGGGTAAGGGAAGCATAATTCAGTAGGACAGAGTAGGAAGGAGCCACTGGTGGTCCAGAGATTTCTGGACAGCATGGAGTGCATGGACATGTCATGACTGGAATGCTGGCTGATGTCCCTGGAAGAGCAAGTGTCCACCAGGACCACGGGCTCTACCCCAAGGGAAGTGTGAAACAGGAGCACCGACTGGGGGACAGCTGTAGGCCTAGCTTGAACAACCTCCAACCCTCTCCATTCCTAGACTCCACAGAATGGGAGGCAGGCTGGCATTTATACGTAGGCCATCTTAGCACAAGGGTTGAAAGAAAAGCAGGGCAGGAGATGAGGAAGTGCCATGGAGACAACCAGAGCAATGGACCCATCCCTCCCGATTTCAGATTTTTTTCTTTTAATATTCAGGTCCAGGCCTGGTGTGGTGGTGCTCGACTTTAATCCCAGCACTCAGGACGCAGAAACAGGTGGATCTCTGTGAGTTCAAGGCCAGCCTGGTCTACAAAGTGAGTTCCAGGACAGCCAGAGATACACAGAGAAACCCTGTCTCAAAAAACCACACACATACACATACACACACCATCACCAAGTCCAATATCCTCATGGGTGTTGAGCCGTCCACTGGAGCAGTGGTTCTCAACCTTTGGGCCAAGCCCCCCTTGGGAGTCACATATTCTCAGAAACCCTGCATATCTGATATTTACATTATGATTTGTAAAAGCAGAATTAGTTATGAAGTAGCAATGAAATAAATGTATGGTTGGTTGGAGGTACTGCAACATGAGGAATTGTATTAAAGGCTGGCAGCATTAGGAAGGTGGAGAGCCACTGTTCTAGAGCACTGGTCAACCTATGGAAGCCACACCCATTAAGAAAACTGACACCCAGCTGTCAGGAGCTGCTCAGCCCTTCCTAGCCTCACGCTGTGATGTTGACTGACTGGACCCTGCCTGTGTCACGGAGTCCATATGTGTGCAGATGTACATGTTCCTCTAACTCCAGGTCAGAAGACATCCTCCACAGGCGTGAGTACTACACACACACACACACACACACACACACACACACACACACACACACACACACGAGTAAGTAAAAAAAGAAATTTCATAATAGATAGGTTACTGTGATTTATAAGATCTTCTGAATGTTGTTAATATACTTTTAATTAACAGCAAACTGTTCAAAGATGTTCTATGATTACATCATGACAAACAATGACAAAGTGGCAAGAAGGCAAATGAATTATTAAATACGTGTAGCTTACAGACTTTTTTCTTCTTTTTTTTTTTTTCTTTTGAGATAGGGTCTTACTCAGATAGTTCAGAATGGCCTGAATGGAATTACAGCTATATGCTATTACTCCTGATCAGACATTTCAGACAGAACAGCCCTGGTGTACATGCTCAGGAATCCTGAAAGGCACCAACTGAAAGGAAACCTTAAAAGTCCTGTGATCCTGAAGGTCTTGGCTCAAGTTTCAGAAGCTTTTGTTTTTCTTTTAGCCACTAGATTTTTCAGGAAAAATTCACCTATTTGAGGAAAATAAGAATACATTAATGGCCGGGCGGTGGTGGCGCACGCCTTTAATCCCAGCACTCGGGAGGCAGAGCCAGGCGGATCTCTGTGAGTTCGAGGCCAGCCTGGACTACCAAGTGAGTTCCAGGAAAGGCGCAAAGCTACATAGAGAAACCCTGTCTCGAAAAACCAAAAAAAAAAAAAAAAAAAAAAAAAAAAAAAAGAATACATTAATATCATCCTGAAGTAAGCAGAATCCCCTCCCCCACATATAAAGAAGGGCTGTATTTCCTGGCATTTCCCTCCTCTCAGACCTCAAAGGCAGTATTTTTATCACCTATCCATATCTTTTGCATTTTCCCCTACTGTTTTGATTTAATTTAAATTTTTTTTTGAGATTATAAAACTTCCTTTCATCTCCCCATAACCCCATAACAGCATAGGCCTACTCAGGGACCAAAAAGAATTGCTCTCCACTATTATTCCTTCTAATACCCAAGTGTTATGCAAGGCCTCTGAACCTGTGGGTCGGCTTCTTCTGTTCACCCCACCGTGCGGGCTGACTACTCATTGCTACAAAGTGCTGCCGTTGGCACAGATCATTTCAGAGAGCAGCCTGTCTGTCCTCAGCCTGGATCTGATGTTTATAAAGCGGACCTCCTGCAGCTGAGCACGGGTCTGACGGAATCTCTCTCACTCATTCCCCTCCGGGGAAGCCAGAGCTCTAGTATGTAATGGGCTTTTGTCCCCACCGTGTGTCGAGTCTGAGCTCCACATTCCCTTTCAGCCCATTGGGCTGCACTTGGTTCAACACTGTGTCAGATGAGCTCAGTGCTTCCTGCTGCAGTGCAGTACTAGAGATTGACTTTATGAGGAGTCGGTCCGCCTCCTCTGTCATCTTACAGGTCCAATCAGATCGCAACCACCACGTCCAAACCCAATCACCAAGGCTCCCAAGTCTCTCGTCTGTATGGCTCAGTCCTTCACCAACATCACCACACTGAAATCCCTGATCTGAGTCCAATGCTCAACACACCAGAATTCCATCTTTTCGTAGTGACTTTAAAAACACTAAAAGATCCATAATTTGTTTCCTTATAAATATTAGAAGATTTCCTTTTAAATATTACTTTATGCTGGACATGGTTGTTCAAACCTTTAATCCCAGCACTTGGAGGCACAAACAGACCTGATCTACATGGTGAGTTCCAGGTCACAAGGACTATATAGTGAGACCCTGTCTCAAAAATTAAAAATAGCTGGGCAGTGGTGGCACATGCCTTTAATCCCAGCACTCAGGAGGCAGAGCCAGGCGGATCTCTGTGAGTTCGAGGTCAGCCTAGTCTACAGAGTGAGTTCCAGGACAGGCACCAAAACTACACGGAGAAACCCTGCCTCAATAAATAAATAAATAAATAAATAAATAAATAAATAAGTAAGTAAGTAAGTAAGTAAGTAAATAAGTAAATAAATAAATAAAACCGCCTGCCACACGCATTAGAAAAAAAGAAAATAAATGTTATTCTAGGGTACCTACTTCTAGAAACTGATACTTGTTCTGATACTTGTATGTATTTCAACTTGTTGGTCATTCTGCTTAATTCTCACTTGTAATTATATATCTTTAAGCCTTCACAGCCTGTTAGACAGTGCTGAACCAAATTCTTTTTTTTTTCCCCCAGAGCTGAGGACCAAACCCAGGGTCTGCGCTTGCTAGGCAAGCGCTCTACCACTGAGCTAAATCCCCAACCCCTGAACCAAATTCTTAGGCTTTTAAATAATTCTTTGAGAATCTCATACATGAATACAATGCATTTTGATCATATTTCCTTCCACCCTGACCCTTAACTTCTCCCACGTACCCTAACTTCATGTTACTACTGTTTTTTTAAATTTTTTTTTATTTTTTGGTTTTTTCAAGACAGGGTTTCTCTGTGTAACTTTGCGCCTTTCCTGGTACTCGCTTTGGAGACCAGGCTGGCCTCGAACTCACAGAGATCCACCTGCCTCTGCCTCCCGAGTGCTGGGATTAAAGGCGTGCGCCACCACCGCCCGGCTCATGTTACTACTTTTTAAAAAATAACCTAGAGTTCAAATTCTTGGCTTTTATAAGTAGGATAACTGTTCATGAAAATATCTTAAAATTTCCTTTCTTTTTTCCTATTTTGTTTTTTTTAAACAAGAGTCTCATGGAGCCCAGGCTGGCCTCAAACTCACCATGTAGCTGAGGGTGACCTGATACCCCCTCAAAGTGTTATAATTACAAGTGTGTACCACCATGCCCAGCTCACTGAAATTCCTTTACAGGGATACTGAGTATCACTGATATGTAAATGTTGATTTTTCTAAACAGAATTCTGTCTAACTTAAATATATCTATGACTTAGACCCCAGTATATACAGCAATCATTTAAATGACCACTAACATTGCATACATATCCCCAAACACCTAGCTTACCAATCCCAATTGCTGACCCCAACACTAGGGAAACATCTTCCTCCTCCATCTCCTTTCTTAGCTCCTAAATGCTAGCACTGCAGGCGTATACCACCAAGCCTGGCTCAAATGACTTTTTCCTACTGTCTTTCCTCTTATGCTGCTGAGAACTCATCCTTGGGCCTCATGCACGCTGGGCAAGAGCTCTACCCCTGAGTTACACTCCTAGCCCGAAATGACTTTTTAATCCTGTGGAAAATGTGCTGTGGGATGGTCTGTATGTCAAATGTGTTGCTGATTGGTCAATGAATAAATCACTGATTGGCCCGTGGCCAGGCAGGAAGTGTAGGCGGGACAAGGAGGAGAATAGAGCTGGGAAGTGGAAGGCTGAGTCGGGGAGACACTGCCAGCCGCCATCAGGACAAGGAAGATGTAAAGTACCGGTAAGCCACAAGCCACGTGGCAAGGTATAGATTAATAGAAATGGATTAATTTAAGCTGTAAGAACAGTTAACAAGAAGCCTGCCACGGCCATACAGTTTGAAACCAATATAAGTGTCTGTGTTTACTTGATCGGGTTTGAGCGGCTTGGGACTGGCGGGTGAGAGAGATTTGTCCTGACTGTGGGCCAGGCAGGAAAACTCTAGCAACAAATGGCGTCCAACGTGGTGGCAAGAGTTTCCACCTAAAAACTGAGAAAAAGGATTCTAAAACGGAGCTAAAAACAGCTTCCTAATTGTCTCTCTCAAATGAGTGACAGCTGCTGGTTTGAGCTACTGGCGGGTTGCTGGTGTGCGCGCTCGACCTGCAGTATGGCGGGAATGAGGCCTCTGCAAGTGGCACATTAAGCTACATTGTGGATTTAGCCTTTGCTAGTACAAAACAAAAGAGGTTTCTGGGCTACACGCTGCTTGGATAAAAGCATAGACCCACGATAGCTCCCAGAGCTGGTGGTAAAGTACCACCCAAGTTGGGAAGCTGAGGTGGGCGGAGCCAGCAGCCACAGCTGCTGCAGCTTAAAGCAATAGATTTACAATAAGACAGATTCAGATGTAATAGTTTAAAATGTGTGTAAAATATACATAGGCTTGAAAGAGACAAAAAAAGGTGATATATACAGTATAGAAACAAATACATGGTTTTAAAAAATAAAGTCTTTAAAGAGACAGTAAAATTAATATAAAAAATAAGCCACGTAGAGATGACTATTACACAGAGTGTCTGGATTGTGTTGTCTTTGGGATTCTTAACTACAGAGAGATATTTGATTGTAAAGGAAGCTGAGTTAAACCAGTATGTATATTTTAAAGATACTTTGACTTCAAAATTTGGATGTAAGGATATGTTGCTTTGGAAAAGAGTCTCTTTTGTTTCCATAGAAAGCAAGAGGCTATGGATTTGTTCCAGATTAAGACACATCAGGTTTGACCAGCCAAGACCACCTGAAAGGTCTCCGATGACACCATGGCCCAGATGATCCAACATCCAGAACCGTTTCAAGGCAACTGGCTCAGATGATACAGCCTCACGGACTACTCCATAATCCTAAAATTTTCTTTGTTTCCCCAGAAGATACAGCGCCCCCCTCCAGCAGGAAGTAGTAAGAGAAGCTACGCCCAAATTCCCAAATATACCAAGCTGACTTTGGAGATGTGTAAAGGTTAAAACCTTCCTTTTTAAGAAAAGAAAAGGGGAAGTGCTGTGGGATGGTCTGTATGTCAAATGTGTTGCTGATTGGTCAATGAATAAATCACTGATTGGCAGTGGCCAGGCAGGAAGTATAGGCAGGACTAACAGAGAGGAAAATTGAGAGAACAGGAAGCTGGGAGGGGAGAGACTGCCAGCCGCCATCAGGATAAGGAAGATGTAAAGTACCGGTAAGCCACAAGCCACATGGCAAGGTATAGATTAATAGAAATGGATTAATTTAAGCTGTAAGAACAGTTAACAAGAAGCCTGCCACGGCCATACAGTTTGTAACCAATATAAGTGTCTGTGTTTACTTGATCGGGTTTGAGCGGCTTGGGACTGGCGGGTGAGAGAGATTTGTTCTGTGGGCCAGGCAGAAAAACTCTAGCAACAAAAATGTTGTTATTTTTGTAGCCAGTTCAGTCAACGGACCAAAGCAAGAGCTAACTACCAAAGAAGAGACGCTCCATTAAGTTAGTAAAACCACTCAAATTCGATTAGGGAAAATGATCTGCCAGGTTTTTCTCTTTCATGTGAAGGGCCCTGGAAAACGCAGAGATTAGCTGTAAGAAGTGACGCTGTAGGGTTTCAGTGCTTACACTGATCTGGAACTGGCAGTGTGCAGATGCAGCCGGCACACTGTCGGCAAACTGTCGCATGAATACGCATTGTCCAGAGGACACAATCACACGCTCTGCACGCTCTGCTGTTTCTGGAAGATCTGCTACTGAAGCCACCCGTGCAGTAACTGACCATGCAAATGACTTCTGTTCTTGTCAAATGGCTGCAGCAGCAAGAGCAGCAAGCGATGTGTGCAAGACATCTGAGGCTGAGGAGTAGCTGCTTTAGTACGACCCTATCGAGCAAAGCTGTGATAGTCGTTCTGGGAAAGAGAATCTCTTTTTATTCCCAACAGATGACAACCACAGCTATTGTAATTGGTAGTTTGGTGGAACACAGCTGTGGGGAATTAATGGCCTAAAAAGACCTCCATCCCCAGCGCCAAACTCACCTGCTTTATATGAAGAGCGCACCAAAGGGCCACTTGCAGTATAATGAAAGCCAAGCTCATTTCCTACTTTTTCCCAGTATTTGAACTTCTCAGGAGTAACATATTCTTCAACCTTGATGGAAACAACCTCTTGAGAGCAGATTCCAGAATTCTAAGTAATTCTGACTCTAGATAGTCTACACCCGTGTATTCAGAATGGCTCATCATTTGCCCAGCCCCCTCCCTCTCTGGTCATTTACATGTTGTTGGACATGTATCTATCACAGCATAACCACAGGGGACTTAGAGAGAAGGGAACATCACTTTGTACTACAGTAGCTGTTCCAAAGGGGAAAGAAAATGAGAGTACAGAGCGATTTATATTTTTCTCTCATTAATTAAGAATCCTATAAGATTCTCCATGTGTGCATGAACATTTTTGTGGGTGCTCATGTACATGTGTACCGGCCAGAGACAACCTTGGAAGTCATTTCTCGGCATTTTCTACCGTCTTTTGCTACAGAGCCCTCAGTGGCCGGGAACTCTTAAGTAGGTTAGGCCGGCTGGCCATCGAGCCCCAGGAATCTACCTATTTCTGTCTCCCCTGTGCCGGGATTATAAGCACAGTCCACCATGTCTGGGTAAAAGAAAGCGTGGGTTCTGGGACTTGAACTCAGTCTTTAATGCCACTCCAAGTCCCTTATAAGATGTCTGAGGACCAGACAAATTCATCTTGTCTCTCATGTTTAGCACTGCCCCGGCACACGTTTTATTTTTGTCTGTCTGTCTGTCTGTCTGTCTGGTTGGCAGTACTAACAGTTGAACCTAGGCCCTCCCACATGCTAGGCAAGTGCTATTGGCACATGATAATACTCAGCACAATTTTCCTGAGTAAATAAACACTCCGTTAGAGAAACAGAAAGCTGCCTTCCTTTGTTTACTTCAGCTTAGTCTTCCAGGCAGTTCTAACCGAGTCGCAGGACCACCCAATGTCAGTAACACAACCTCCCACCTTTTCACTTTTTCTGTATGCTCACGTGACTTCAACAATTGGGTAGCAGTGAGTACCACTGCCACTGCTTTATGTGGGCAGGAAGATGGACATTTATATGTACACACGGGACATTATACTAAAAACCTAACCGTTTCTTACTTGTACCTGTGGACAATGGAGACTTACTAAGAAAAGAGCTGGCAACTCAAGACACCTGTACCTTAAGGTGGCGTTTCGTTGGCTGCATATACTGTCCCAGAGTTAGACAGTCCACGTCGGCTGCACGGAGCGCTGGAAGGGAAAAGCAGGGTTCCGCCAGCAGTGTTTCAGTTACAGCTATAGAGCTGAGCACAGGTTCGGGGGGTGGGGGGGTGGGGGGGGTGGGTTCTTCCACACTGCTGTAACTACATCACAGGCAATTCGGGACAGGGGAAAACCCATTCATTCAAAACCACTATGAGCCACCGATTCTGTGAGAATTGGAAACACAGGAATAATCACCACAGTAGTGTGACACTGGGAGAGAGAAAGAAATGCAAGGCTGGAGGTGGTGGCGCACGCCTTTAGTTTCAGCACTCGGCAGGCAGAGGCAGGTGGATCTCTGAGTTCGAGGCCAGCCTGGTCTACAGAGTGAGCTCCAGGACAGCCAGGGCTACACAGAGAAACAACAACAACAAACATAACAAACAAACAAACAACAATAGAGACAAATACACTTAAGTGCTGTCAAACAAAGGCTAAAACAGAGAGAGTGCTTTAGAGGGGAAGTCTGTCAGGCATAAAAGGTGAAGGGAGGTGACCCTTGAGAAGCCACGCCCAGGCCTGGCTGTACTGTATCCTTTCCTTTAGTCTATGTTATCCTTTACTTAAGTCTATGTTAATTCTTTTTTTTTTTTTTCCTTTTTGGTGGCTGAAGAACCATGGGTGCTGGAAACCGAACTCATATATTTGGCTGTGAGCCTAGCCTTTAACAGCTGAGCCAACTCTCCAGCCCTAAAATCTTTTTCTTAATAAGCTTCACCTCTGCCTTAAAAATAAAAAAGGTGGGAGCTGGAGAGATGGCTCAGAGGTTAAGAGCACCCACTGCTCTTCCAGAGGTCCTGAGTTCAATTCCCAGCACCCACATGGTGGCTCACAACCTTCTGTAATGAGATCTGGTGCCCTCTTCTGTGTACATAATAAATAAATAAATCTTAAAAAAAAAAAAAAAAAAAAACCAAAAATAAAAAAGGTGAAGGAACAATTATCCTAAAGTGAAAACATTCACACGAGCCGAACATACTGTCCTGGGCTCTGCCTTGGTGAGCAGATGTGTTCTCGGAGCGTGACCTGACCTGTGACATATCAGTCTTTCCTTTTCAGTTATACTTGGTAGGCAAGCGCTCTACTAAAGCTAAAGCCACAGCCTTCAGAATCCCACCCACTAGTACTTGGCACCTAACTGGCTCTCAAAACCATCCAATGACAGAATGAAATCCCGTCCTCATTGACTAGGCGAGGACAAGGAGGGCTAAAAATCCCATCGTAACCACCATGCACGCCATTCCATGATGCTCAAGGAAAACTTATTTCCCTGTGCATGCTGCTATTTGCGACCACGTCCTTTCTTTTGTTCTGGACACAGAAGCCGGAACGCTCCCACTGGCCTCCACCTCAGCTCCAGACACTTTGTTCCTACTGTCACCTGCGCTCAGGCTATGGAGGAAGCAGACATTTAACAGGCTCTTTAAAGTGGAGTTCCTGCTACCATGGAAATGGGAAGGGGTGTCTGGTTTTCAGCTTCTTTACCTTTCATCGTGGCGTGGACTTGCTCATCCGTCTCACCCAGGCCCAGCATTATTGATGTTTTGGAAACAATGTCAGGCTGAACTTTCTTGACATGTTTCAATACACGAAGAGACTGGTCAAAATTGGCCCGGGGATCACGAACTTTCCTGGAAAACGGGGCAGCTCTCAGTGACGAAACAAGTTCAACCAAATACATTGTTATGTAAGCTGGAAGATCAGAAAGCACATTCTAGAACAGTGTTCTCAACCTTTCACAGAGGTAGCCTAAGATCACTGGAAAACACTGATATTTAGTTATGATTCCTAACAGTAGCAAAATAACAGTTGTGAAGTAGAGTAACAATAACTTTATGGTTGGGGTCACTACAGCATGAGGAGCTGTATTAAAGGGTCGCAGCACTGGGAAGGTTGGGAACCACTGCTCTAGAATACATGACCCACAGTTAGTGAGCATCTGTGTCAATGTACATATGTGCACAGAGGCAATTAATGCAGGAGAGAAAATGAGGCCTCACTGGCTTCCTAGATCTGTCAACTTTTCAGGCCTCTCAAGCCTGGGATAGAGAAAACCAGACTAGAAGTCACTCGGTTTATACACTGAAAAATTAGGATTCTGAAACTCAAAATTATAATGACGTCCAGCGAGAACAGAGACTGGACAGAAGACAGACAAACCCCACTCTGAGGACAAAACCTACCCGACTGCACATTTCTGGGGTTGAAACTTTTATGTGCATGTCTTTCCTGCAGGTTGGACTGCCCTCTAGTGGCAAGTAAGAACACCGCAGGCTCGGAGGAAAAGCATTCTGGGATTTCGACTGGAAATGTTTCAGAAGTGAAACCAGGGAGACTGGCACCCACTGCTGGTGGGATCCCCACAGGCTGGGTGGCGACCCTCCCACAAAGCCCAAACCACCAAGGCTTAAATGGGAAGAAAGGGAAAGGGCTAAGGGAGGGTCAGCACTCAGCTGAATTCTAATGCAGCCTTGCGCTCGGTAGTTTTGCTTTGTTTTGTTTTAATTGAAATAAGAGGCAAGGGGTTGAAGAGATGGCCCAGTAGTTAGAACTGACTGCTATTCCAGGGGACTCAGGTTCAATTCCCAGCACCCACAAGGGGCTAACAACTGTGTACCTCCAGTCCCAGGGGACTGACACCCTCTTCTGACCTTCCAGGGCACTGCGCGCGCGCGCGCGCACACATACACACACACACACACACACACACACACACACACACACACACACACACACACACACACAGTGCACAGGTAACACACCCATGTAAAAGGAAAAAACAAACAAAACAGTAAGTTATCCTCTGACTTGTACACGAGTGTTTGTGTATATACATACACATACATGCGCGCGCACACACGCACACACACACACACACACACACACACACACACGTAAGTTTAAGAGGAGCAGTTAAAAAAAAAACCTCCATACAATTGACAGTACAGAAAGCCAACACTGTGTTGACACTCATGCCAGCCGTGTTGGTCTTGAAGTTGCAGCCCTCAGCCTCAGCCTCCCGTGTGCTGACTGGGATGAGAGCTGTGTGCCACCGCACTTCAAACATTCGTTAGAGCTGCTTGCTAGCTAGTTCCCGCCTTCCACCACGTGGGCTCCAGGAGTTGGACTCATGTCATTGGGCTTAGCAAGGGCACCTTCATTCCAGCCATCTGGCCAGTCCCCAGTCACTTTTCACAAGTATTCCTCCACTGGCCTCAAACTATGCTCTGCAGTGGTTACAATGCAGGAGCAATGTGCGTGGTACCACTCCCTGTAACTTCTTGTAGGTCTGTGACACAGAACAGTGGGATGTGACGAACAAAACCACAGCCAAAGACCTGAGGAGCTAAATGAAAATATTCATCTGTCTGCAGCTAAGACGCTTCTCACTTTTCTCAAATCTGAATATACTCGTTATGTGGAATAAGTGTCCTTCAAAATTTCTAACTACTGCCGGGCGGTGGTGGCGCACGCCTTTAATCCCAGCACTCGGGAGGCAGAGCCAGGCGGATCTCTGTGAGTTCGAGGCCAGCCTGGGCTACTGAGCGAGTTCCAGGAAAGGCACCAAAACTATATGGAAAAACCCTGTCTTGAAAAACCAAAAAAAAAAAAAAAAATTCTAACTACTAAAGTTAGTAGGAAGAATAAAACTTAGTGTCTACTCTCTTGTGTGTGAGTCTATGTGTGGGGTGTCTTTGGGTTTTTGTTTGAGACAGAGTCTCACTACGTAGTCCTGGCTGGCCTCAAACTTGCGGAGATCACTTGCTTCTGTCTCCTGTGTGCCGGGATTAAAGGTGTGCACTATTACTTTTGGCTTTTCTTATTTTTTTTTAAGAAAGGGTGTAGCCCAGGCTTGTTCCTAAACTTTCGATCTTCTGCCTCAGCTTTGTAAATATTAGAATTACAGGGCAGTATCATCACCAACGGCCATCCTGTCTACTTTTGAAGAGATTTAAAACAGTGTTGTTTTTGATACATCATTTTTTCTTGAGAAGTATTCTCTTGGGAAAAAAAAAATCACAATTCAGTGCATCTGCAATGATACCACCTTAGAACACAGTAAAGATGTTCATTGTATGTCATTAAAACATCGTCAAACACAGCTGGGAGGTGGTGGCGCACACCTTTAGTTCCAACACTCAGGAGGTAGAGGCAGGGGGATCTCGATGAGTTCCAGGCCAGCCTGGTCTACAGAGCGAGTTCCAGGATAGCCAGGGCTACACCAAGAAACCCTGTCTTGAAAAACAAAATCAAACAAACAACCCTGGATGACACTATCAGTTCCTAGCACATTAGCACATGAATTTACAGGTATAACATAACACTAAAATGTCGGGAACTGACATTACTGGCCAGAAACATCATGGGTGATGTTTGCACATTTTCAAAGACACTTTCCTTTTTAATTATGTGTATGTGTGTATGCCTATGTGTGGGTGTGTGCACAAGAGTGCAGTTGCCAGCGGAGCCCAGAGGCATCGGTCACCCCGGACAATGTGAGCACCAGGAACTGAACTCTAGCTCTCTGTGAGAGCGCTCGGGTTCTTCTTCACCACTGACCATCTTTCTAGGCCTTGCTCACTCACTTTGGTGGCTGTCTTTTCTGATGCTTGTATTAACTCATGAAGAAAGGACAGAAGAGAAGAGCAAGAGAGGAGGGGGAGGCAGGGGAGGGGAGGAAGGGGCTGCTTTGTGCAGCCCGCTGCCCAGTCCCCCTGCAAGTGAGACCCACGGCACGCTGGGGCCTGTTAACGTGCAATCACCTCTGTAGTTCTGGAACGGTTTCTACGTTATGTGCGTACACATCTAATCCCGACAGAGCGACCTTCTCTACTGCTCTCAGATCTCCTCGGAAGTCAGGGGTGAGGCACTCCACGAGGATTTGGGGATTCCTAGAAGGACAAAAGATGAGCAATGAACTGAAGGAGAGGATCGACAGGACTGTTGTCTAAACAGTGGTGACCACTGACCCAGGGAGCACGTCAGCAGCCCCTGACCCCTGCTAAGGCAGGCCTATGTGAGCAACCGTCCGAAAACCCTCAGCATGGTAAACTGTACATCATGACCAGACCGTCTACCTGCAGCAGCCATCAGTAGACTCCGGCTTAAACCTAACAGGAGTAGGTGATTAAAAACGTAAAATTGATTAAAGAAACCAAAATATAAGACATAAGTAATATTATTATTATTTTACCGTTTAGAAAACAAAGTGGGGTATTTCTTCTGTGAACGCCAATGCCATCTGCTTCAACTTGGATTTCTTCTGTAATTAATCAAACCCTACGTTCCTCACCTCCTCTAGGCAAATATCTCACCAGTGCTAGGAGCTTTAAAAGCTGTTTCTAGGCTTGCTGAGTCATACGGCTTGTTTTTAAATGAAGTACCATGCGAACACTAACCTTCCTGTTTCTATCTGTCCTGTCTATCTAATGAAGCACTGTAGTGTGAACTAGGTCACAGAGCTGTTCGCAAACCCGAAGGAAGGCACAGCACAGCTCTTCCCTGAGAACAGGCAGGAAGGCTCCCACTCGTTCCCTTGGGAACATAAGATGCTGAAAGATCTTAGTGTGTAACTCTGAAACTGGCTTTTGAACAGTTGCCCCTGAGATCCATTAGTGGCTAGAAAGAAACTGTGTGAGCTGCAATAGTTTTGGAACTGTTAACAAACAGAAAAGCTGGGGAATCCGTGGGAAAGCATTTGTTGTTAGGATAGACATCACAAAAGCACCGAGCTCTAGAATCATTTGGCTCCTTCTGTTTTTAGAGACAGAGTCTTCCTATGCAGCCCTGGCTGGCCTGGAGTTCATCATGTACACCAGGCTGGCCTCAAATTCACAGAGACCCCTGTCTCTGCTCTTGAACACTGGGATTAAAGGCATGTGCCACTAATCTGGTGAATTTTGCTCCTTTTTAATCCTTTTGGAATTAATAGGATTAAAACTTTTTTTAAAAAATGTAGATTACGAGCCGGGCAGTGGTGGCGCACGCCTTTAATCCCAGCACTCGGGAGGCAGAGCCAGGCGGATCTCTGTGAGTTCGAGGCCAGCCTGGGCTACCAAGTGAGTTCCAGGAAAAGGCACAAAGCTACACAGAGAAACCCTGTCTCGAAAAACCAAAAAAAAAAAAAAAAAAAAGGTAGATTACCAGTAAAATTGGCAGGACAGATGGATATGAATGAAAACTGTATTGAGATGTATTTTACAAGGTTGTGCTTACCTCATTTCGGTTTTTTATTTTTCTTAAAGATCTGTTTATTTTCACTTTATGTGTGTTTTGCCTGTGTGTAAGTATGCCTGTGCATTGAGTATGTGCCTAGTGCCCACAGAGGCCAGAAGTGGGTGCTGGCTCCCCTGTGGAGTTAGGATGGTGTCAGCCACCGTGTGAGCTGGGAACTGAACCTGGGTCTTCTGCAAGAACAGGAAATGTTCTTAACTGTTCAATTCTATGTGTGTGTGAAGGGAGGGGGCAGGCATCAAACCTCAGGCATGCTAGGCAAGTATTGTACCACAAAGCTGTATCCTCAACCACAATCCACTCTTAAATGGGAACTTATTAGAAACTCAGGGCTGGGCTGGTTGTGCTGGCCCACCTTCAATCCCAGCATTTGGGAGGCAGAGTCGGGTAGTTCTCTGTGGGTTCAAGGCCAGCCTGGTTTATATAGTGAGTTTCAGGACAGCCAGGGCTGCACAGACTCTGTCTCAAAAAAAGAAAGAAAGGAAGGAAGGAGGGAAGGAGGGGGAAAAAAGATAGACCTCAGAATGAATTTGCATGTGTCTAAAAGACTCTTAACTCACACAACATTGTCAACAGGTACCTTTCTTTCAAGCATACCACGGTCTTGGCAATGTGCTCAGCTCCCCCGTCAGGCACATCTAGAAAGAAAAGAAGTTATTGTTTGGGCTGGAGAGATGGCTCAGAGGTTAAGAGCACCGACTGCTCTTCCAGAGGTCCTGAGTTCAATTCCCAGCACCCACATGGTGGCTCATAACCATCTGTAATGAGATCTGGCACCCTCTTCTGTGTACATAATAAATAAATAAATCTTAAAAAAAAAAAAGAAGTTATTGGTTATTGTTCAAGCTATGCCACACTTAGCTGGAGCATGGCACAATGGCACACTACTCACCATCTCGATCCACCGACGTCAGGACAACATAATCCAGACCCCACTCTGCAATTGCTTTGGCCGTATTGTAGGGCTCATTGGCGTCCAACGGAGGGGGATTTCTTGCAGTCTTCACAGAACAAAATCTGCAACCTCTTGTACAAGTGTCCCCCATCAACTGGAACAGAGACGTTACAACTTAAATCAGATGACCCTTAGGAATACAATGCCAAAAACAAATGGCAAAGAACATCAACAGAATGATTCTGTTTAGAAGGAATCTGAAACATTCCAAATTAAATAGTAGATGATTAAGGAATTCAAATTTATGTGGGAAAAGAAATTGATACACTCAAGTAAGTGTTAAGGAAACTGGAGGGGACATAGGATTAGGAGGGAAGATTTAAATTTTAAATTTTATCATTTAAGGGGCCAGCGAGAAGGCTCACTTGCCAAGCAAGTACAGTGACCTGAGTTTGATTCCCAGAGCCCATGTAAAGACGGCAAGGAGAGTGCCGGGCGGTGGTGGCGCACGCCTTTAATCCCAGCACTCGGGAGGCAGAGCCAGGCGGATCTCTGTGAGTTCGAGGCCAGCCTGGTCTCCAAAGCGAGTTCCAGGAAAGGCGCAAAGCTACACAGAGAAACCCTGTCTCGAAAAAAACCAAAAAAAAAAAAAAAAAAAAAAGACGGCAAGGAGAGCAGACTCCCAAGTTGTCCTTTGACTTCTATACACACCTCCACATACACACAATCCACCACCACCACCATCATCATCACCACCATAATAATAATAAATAAAATTTCAACTTAAAGCCAAGTGCCTATAACCCTAGCACTTGAGAAGTTGAGGCAGGAAGATCATGAGTTCAAGGTTAGCCTGGGCCCCACAGTGAGACTCTGTCTCAAAATTTAAAATGGGAGATGGCTCAGTGCCTAAGAGGATTTGCTGTTCTTCAGAGGACCCAAGTTCGGCTCCCAGCACCCACACCGAGTGGACCAATGGCTCTGCACTCTACATGCACCTGCACTCACACTCAGGTATACATACCCACAGAGACACACACACAAGAATGACTGAACATCAAATAAAGCATACAAAAAATGGGAGCCAGGCATGGTGGCACACACCTTTAACCCCAGCTTTGGGAGGCAAAGGCAGACAGATCTCTGTGAGTTTGAGGCCAGCCTGGTCTACAGAGAGAAACCTTGTCTTGAACAGAGAGAAACAAATAAATAAAATAATGGGATCCCAATGTAGAGTCTGTGAGAGGCTAAAGTTCTGCTCTAAATGAGGTGTCAGGATGTCTGTTGTATTGTCGTCATCCCCCCCCACCCCCCCACCCCCCCACCCCCCGCTTTTTTTTTTTTTTGAGACAGGGTTTCTCTGTGTAGTTTTGCACCTTTCCTGGAACTCACTTGGTAGTCCAGGCTGGCCTCGAACTCACAGAGATCCTCCTGCCTCTGCCTCCCGAGTGCTGGGATTAAAGGCGTGCGCCACCACCGCCCGGCTGTATTGTCATTCTTTACAACTTACTCAATAATCAACAAGTACCATTTAAAAATATTCTCTTTTAATGATATTTTTCTGTGTGTGTGTGTGTGTGTGTGTGTGTGTGTGTGTGTGTGTGTGTGAACACAAGGACGTCAGAGGATAACTTGCAGGAGCTGTTTTTTTCTGTCCACTATGTGGGTCCTGTGGGTTGAACTCAGGTCACTAGGCTTGACGGCAGGTGACTCTGCCCACTGAGCCACCTGGCTGGGCCCCAGATACATTCAGTGGGAAGACGAATGTGCAGATCTGAATAGAGTGAAACTGGAAATACCGCTTATTCTTGTTATGGAAATAGTGTACAACAGTTAAATAATTACGAAGAATATTTCCAAACATTAGTGCAACACACACCCTAAGGGACCAAAGTGTTAATTATCAGATACACGGAAGAACCAATAACAGATTAATTCAGAAGGGTGAAATCACAACAGGTGACCGGATTCTGTCACTTTTTTCTTTGTAATTTTCATAAATTCATAGGCAATAAGAATTTCACTGGGTGTTCACAGTGCACATCTTTAGGAGGAGGACATAAAATGTCCCCATTACATGGCTGAGCTGTAGAGACTGAGCTGGCCTTACCATGATCGTGGCTGTGGCCGTGGCATACTCTCCACCTCCCCAACACTCTCCAATGTTGGGACATCGGGCTTCCTCACAGACCTGTGGAAAGGGAAACAATGCATCAGGCTGAAAAGACTGCCCACCATCAATGAAGTACATGGGTTTTCAGCTTAAAGATTATTTTTAGTATCGGTTTGTATGTTTGGGTGTTTTGCCTGCATCTATGTCTGTGCACACGCATGCAGAGTGTCAAAGAGTCCAGCAGAGTGTCAGATCCCCAAAAATGGAGTTAGATATGGTTGTGAGCTGCCATGTGGGTCCTAGGAATTGAACCTGGGTCCTCTGGAAGAGTAAGCAGCCTATGGTCTTAACCACTGAGCCATCCCTCCAGGCCAGCATTAGGTAATTTAAACTGCCCATTGTTTCCAATGTATTTCAGAAGAAATATAATCACTGTTTCTTTTGCAGGAAAACATCAAGGGCAGCTAGGGACTAAACTGCTCTCACACACTATGCAGGCGCTAGGTTATACTCTCAGCCCCTAAATGTCTATGTTCTTATTTGTTTGTTTGTGTTTTCTGAGACAGGGTTTCTCTGTGCAGCCCTGCCATCCCAGAAGTCACTCTGTAGCCCAGGCTGGCCTCTGACTCACAGAGATCCACTTGCCTCTGCCTCCTGAGTGCTGGAGGCACCGCCCAGCTCTATGTACACTTTTACTGCTGTAGCTACACTTTACTTTTCATCTTTACCCGCTCTCCTTGCTAATGTTTATATATTCATTCATCATTTCTTTCTGGTCTGGTCTGGCACCACTTATCTTATAATCCAAGCACCTGGGAAGCTAAGACAGGAGAATCACAAGTTTGAGACCAATTGGGCCTATATAGTGAGCTCCAGGCCAGCCTATGCTAAATAATGAGACCATATCTCAGAAGCTTTTTGTTGTAAGTATGGAGAAACAGCACAGCCCTGGGGTAAATCAGAGAGGAAACACACTGGCCACTTACTGTGTGGAGATTTAAATTCCGCAACGTGGTTTTCAGTTTATTGTAATTTTTACCCATGGGTATCTCTGTCTTTAACCATGGAGGTAGTCTTAACCTAGGGAAAGCCAAAAAGAACTGTCCATTACCAACCTTTGGAAGACACAGAGCTTAGCTCCAGCAGTTCCCTAGTACAGCCTTTCCGTATTCCTGGACTAACTCAATTCCATCCCAGGAATAAGAACAAAGACTCAAACTCAGGTCTGCTCAAGCTGCTTTAGGAAACACTGATAATGGAGTCTAAGGGGGTGCTATGCTTATAGCCACCTTATGCACAGGTGCGTTGTTACACTATTCTAATTAAAGGACGGACACGTCTTTGAGGGTGTCCTTCCCTATGCATACTACTGTACCAGGCTTTCTCTTTTGGGCCACCAACCAGCTTCCAAATCATGACACAGAGACTTATTATTACTTGTGAATGCTTGGCCTTATCTTAGCTCTTATTTAATCTGTTTCTCTTTATCTCTGTTTTGCCTCGGGGCTTTCGACCTTTCTTTCCGTCTGTAGACCTTACTTTCACTACTTCTCACGTCTAGCTGGCAGCTGCCTGACTTCTAGCCCGGGGCGTGCCCCTCTCTTCCTTGTCCTCTCCTCCTCTCTTCTCTCCTGAGGCTAGATTCCCTCCTACCCGTTCTCTCTGTCCACCAGCCCCTCCTACTCCTCTCCAGCTTAGCGGCTGGCCGTCAGCTTTTTGGGGTTTTTTTTTTTTTTGGTTTTTCGAGACAGGGTTTCTCTGTAGCTTTGCGCCTTTCCTGGATCTCGCTCTGTAGACCAGGCTGGCCTTGAACTCACAGAGATCCGCCTGGCTCTGCCTCCCGAGTGCTGGGATTAAAGGCGAGCGCCACCACCGCCGGCCCGGCCGTCCGTCCGGCCGTCAGCTTTTTACTAGATCAATTTTAGGTACCTTAGGCAGGCAAGGGGAAACTAATGTAACACATCTTTACAACATTAACAAAGGCAGCAGAAACAAATGTAACACATCTTTGCCCAGTTAAAATAACATTCCACAACATCCTACAAATTATTACAGTAACTCCAAACAAGGCATGAGCCCAACTGCACACTATCTACCCTGCATTCTAGGTTCTAGTCATTAAGAAAGGGACGGGGTTGGGGATTTAGCTCAGTGGTAGAGTGCTTGCCTAGTCAAGCACAAGGCCCTGGGTTCGGTTCTCAGCTTTGGAAAATTAAAGAAATAAATAAAATAATAAATAAAAAAGAAAGGGACATAACTTCCTAGTTGTGGTGGTTCATGTCTGTGATGCTAGAATTTAAACCATGGAGGTAGGAGGATGGGGAGTTCAAGGTCAAATTTAACTACATAGTGAGTTCAAGGCCAGCCCAGGCTACATAAACCAGAAAATGACAAACTGAAAACAACAACAAAAAAAGATAGATCTAAAATCTAGAACGAGACTGTATCCTTGTTTTCCCCTTGAATATATTCACTTGTGGTCTAGAAGTTGTTTGATAAGTATTTTTGAAAACGACCTTGTTCACCCAACCCTCACCATACTTCTCTTACTATTTCTGTTTATTGTGGTGATAGGAATCGAACCCTGAGCCTTCTGCATGCAAAGCAATCTTTTCATCACTAAAACAATAAAGATGGAGTAACCGTAGGCTCTACGTAAACTTTCTCAGAAAAGGAACAAGTTAGGGCCAGGCATGGTGGCGATGGCTTTTAATCCCAGCACTTGGGTTGCAAAGGCAGGCGGATCTCTGTGAGTTCAAGGCCAGCCTGGCCTACATAGTGATTTCCAGGTCAGCCAGGGCTCCACAGTGAGACCCGGTCTCAAAAAAAAAAAAAGAATAAGTTAGATAATCAATGTCCAATAACAATTAAAATTATATAAAGGTATAAGTCAATAAGTAAGACAGCTAGTGGTGGCACACGACTTTTATCCCAGTCCTTGGGAGGCAGAGAGGCAGGGGAATCTCTGAGTTCGAGGCCAGCCTGGTTTACAGAGTGAATTCCAGAACAGTCAGGAGTATACAAGAAACCCTGTTTTGAAAAACAAAATAAAATAAATCAATAATTACCAAGAGGAAAACTTTTCCAATTAGATGCTGGGTATAAAATGGGAGATCATGCCGGGCGGTGGTGACGCACGCCTTTAATCCCAGCACTCGGGAGGCAGAGCCAGGCAGATCTCTGTGAGTTCGAGGCCAGCCTGGACTACCAAGTGAGTCCCAGGAAAGGCGCAAAGCTACACAGAGAAACCCTGTCTCGAAAAACCAAAAAAAAAAAAAAAAAAAAAAAAAAATAGGAGATCATAATATAAAATGGTCAGGTCATTTTAGGAAGGATAAAGAAAAATGGCCAAAGGGTACAGAAAAAATAAAATGATTCTAATAGCTTTGCTCACTTATCCTGTTTAGATTTGTTATCACTTCTAGTAACTTTGGGTAAGTTTAACGTGTCTGAAATTTAAAATCTACTACAGGGCTTGATTAAAAACTGCACAAACTCCAAGAGTGGGATACTAAAATGATATCTTCACATTCTATTACCTTTCTCCTTTCTGGCGCTTTAAGTTGCCTTTATATTCATCCCAGGTGCTCTTGTCCGCAAGATCACCAGATACAAAATCTTGAAGGTCTGGTCCAGTCTGTAAAAATTCCTTTTTTTTATCGGGCAAAGAACTTAATGCTCTAACCGGGCTGTATAAACATCTTCCCAATACCTACAGAAAAGGTTCATTACAACATTCATTCAGTAGACTCTGCAATTATTTAGTTTTAACCCATTATAATACCAAAGCCAAAGAACTGATTCAGAAGTCATGTAAAAGGATTTAAGAGCTGAAGCTATTTAGATGACTCTTAAAAAGACTCAAAGTGAAAGAACTGCTAGACACGGTGGCTCGAACCTGTAATCCAGCACTCAGAGGCAGAGGGAGGAGAATTCAGGCCAGCTACAGAGATCCTGGTGCATCCCCTGCCCCCACGGAAGGAGGAGGGGTGTGGGGTACGATAGAGTAAGAGTTAACTGCTAAATATAGATTCGAAAACCTTAGGAACTGACTTAACGTGTCACATTTTCATGTTCCTTTTTTTTTTTTTTTTTTTTTTTTCTGAGACAAGGTTTCCCTGTGTAGCCCTGGCTGTCCTGGATCTCGCTCGTAGCCCAGGTTGCTCTCGAACTCACAGAGATCCACCTGCCTCTGTCTCCCGGGTGCTGGGATTAAAAGGCGTGCGCGCCGCCACCACCACCGCCCGGAAAGTCTTAGGCCGGGCACTAAAAGTACGTGGTCAACAAGTTTAAACTGCAATCACTAAGATACGCCACGGCTGTGAACGTTTTATTCCCGAGTCAGGGAGTTTGAAAAAAAGGATATCTGGGAAGAGTTCCCTAGGGCGGGACTTGGGATAAGCAACAGCCTTCCTGCAGCTCACCCAGGACCCCAGGCTGCGGGCCGCATCCCCGCAGCGTAGAGAAGACATCCCCTCTTCAGGTCTTAGAAAGGTCCAGGGCTCCAGGGAACCAGCAGCACGCCCTGCACAGGACGCGTCTGGGGAAAAAAAAAAAAACAACCCGTCGCTTGGCTGATGACGACAACACGTCATCGCCAACCCCTGCGCGGGTCGACCTCTTCGGCGATGGACTCGTTTAGCCTCCAGCCCCGTCGCGCGCTCGCGACGTCACACGCCTGACGGATTACAAGAACGTGATGACGGAGGACGCTCTCTCTTTGCCCCGTCTACTGCGAGGTGAGCGGCGTGTCCGGTGTGCGTACCCTGGGAATCCGAAGCCATCCTCTCTGGGGGACACCGGCGGCACGGGCCCGGCGCCCCCGAGTCCGTGTCCCGGGTGTCCCCCAGCACGGCGGGCGTCCCTCGGGTGTAGCGGCGCGGGCTGGACGTTGCGTTCCGGGCTCGCAGGCCTGCCCCGGCCGCAGCCCTCCCGCCATGGCGCCCCGGGCCGGGCTTCCTAACATCCCTCCCGGGCCCGCCGCCTCCCGGCTCGCGCAACCCCGGGCCACCCACCCGATGGCACGGACCCCATCTTGTGTGTCTTTGCCCCCGGATTTCCTACCCGGCGGTTTCCGGTGGGAGCGGAACTCTGCCCCGAGTCTGGTGTAGCGCGCTCCCCGCTCCAGCCTTCTTACCCCTGGGTGTTTGTGTTTCAGAATGAAGACCATTCTCAGCAACCAGACGGTCGACATTCCAGAGAATGGTAGGCAGGGCCTGATGCTTGGGCCTTGACGTCTGCCTTGCATGCTCTTGAGCCTTGGCCTCTGGCCTCACGGGTTCGCCCTCTCTCTTGCAGTGGACATCACTCTGAAGGGGCGCACGGTCATCGTGAAGGGCCCCCGAGGAACCCTGCGGAGGGACTTCAATCACATCAACGTAGAGCTGAGTCTCCTCGGGAAGAAGAAGAAGAGGGTGAGCACTCCGTTGCTTTCTGATACTCGGGTTGCTTGTTTGCAGGGTGGTTTGGTTGTTAACAGCACGAGGTTTTTGGTGCCTTAAGCCCGCCGTGGTGGTGCGGGCCTTTAAATCCCAGCACCGGGAGGGCAGAGGGGGGGCAGTGAGTTCCCGGACAGCCAGGACTACACAATTGAGACTTTGTCCAAAAAAAAAATAATAATAATAATAATGGTGGCGTTTAACTTTTAAAACTTTACCGATGGGGTGCCTGAACTTATAGGGAATTTTGCTTTGGTGAAATTATAAAACCAAACCTAATATTGTAAAACCCGGTATCTAGTATTAATGTTCCAAAATATTATCATTTAAGTACTTTTTCAGACTTAATCCTGGGGTGACCCTTGTGTTCTCGATTTTTTTTGTTTTTGTGGTGGGGGAATCATTCTTCTGGGAGAGCCCGTGTCTGTGACATACAGTGTATTGGTCATTCGTAGGTAGTTTTGAATGCCCTTGTAACCAGCTAAAAACTCTTAATTAATTCTGAAGTCTTGTTGTATTACAGCTCCGGGTTGACAAATGGTGGGGTAACAGAAAGGAGCTGGCCACTGTCCGCACCATCTGCAGTCACGTTCAGAACATGATCAAGGGTGTTACGCTGGTAAGCCAGCCCATCAGGCTGCTTTTTAATCCTTTGGAAGAAGTTTCTTGGGTGTGTTTTGTATATACAGATGTCTAGTACCAGAATGGGCTGTGGACCCTGATAAGTTAGACGGTTTTTTTGTTTGTTTGTTTTATGGGAAAGGGGTGTACCATGGATCAAGCCTAGGAATTTGCCGGCCATCATGCTTCAGAACTTATTTTCATATATAGTCTGCTATAGTGTAGATTCGATTATTGGTTGGTATGTGTGGAACTTGTGGATAGAAAAGGTCTGACTTCTGCATATCTGATGTCACTATTAGTTCTGGATCCATTCTCCAAAGATAAAATTGATGCTGAAGGAGTTTGTACCCTGTACATAACAGGTCTCTTACGTACCTGTTGGGTTGAGCTTCCCTGTTGTTCCATAGTTTCCTTGAAGGACCAGACCTTTTATTTAGCTTGCTAATCTGAAGTCTGTGGTCTGGTAATTCAATAAATCTAGTGCCAAAGATGAGGGTCTTGGGCTCTCACTGAAAGAAGCAAGCCAGGATGGGTAGTAAAACACATGCTTCCTCCAGGAATATTACTACCGAAAGAGACATTTGCTCCTTTGAAGTAAACCTCAACTGTATGAGACGTGTTGCAGGTCACAGATGGCAGGTCGGGTGTGTTGTGTTAGGTTTTCAGGTTACAACAAAAGCACCTTAGAGAATTTTAGAGCTGGCCCTGGTGGCGCACAGCTGTGATTTAGGGGAAGCTGGAGAAGGGGCCAGCCTGAACTGAAAATGTTTTGAGATTGTTGACTGTTTACTTAATTCAGGGCTTCCGCTACAAGATGAGGTCTGTGTATGCCCACTTCCCCATCAACGTCGTCATTCAGGAGAATGGGTCTTTGGTTGAAATCCGGAATTTCTTGGGAGAAAAATACATCCGCAGGGTTCGGATGAGGACAGGTATGTGTGTGCCTTCAGGAATGATCAGCTGCTACAGTTCTCTTCCTTGAGTCTTGGAGTGCTAGTGTTTGGCTGTGGTGAGGGTTATTTCAGAACTGTGTTACGGTAAGTGCTAGCTTGAAGTTGAAGTTGTTTGTAGGATAAAGCAGCTTTTTGTGGGTGCTGGGAATTGAGTCTGACACATCTGTAATCACAGTATGTTCAGAAGTATGTTCTAAGGTTGATGGGTGGCGTGTAGTTTTAAATAAAATTGTGTTCTGTACGGATCTCGTGTTAATCCTGTTGAGTGCACACCTCTTTTAGGCGTTGCTTGTTCTGTCTCTCAAGCCCAGAAGGATGAATTAATCCTTGAAGGAAACGATATTGAACTTGTTTCAAATTCAGGTATGTGTGCTTATGTCTGTTATCTGGCAAATTTTATCTGAGCCTTAAGGCTGAATGCATGTCTGATTTCTGTTTTAAAACTTCTGAGAGGTCAAACGTCATTCCAGATCTGTTCTGTATATACTGCACTTTGTATGTGGTGGGTATGCAGTTCTAAGTTGATGGGTAGCCTGTGGCTGGCTTTGTATCTGTATTGGGGTGTGTGCCGCTGCACTCAGTTGAGAACTGAGGGCAGTGAAGGAGTCTCCTTCCATCATGTAGGCTCCAGGGATTGAGCTCCAGTTGGTAGACTTGCAGATGATTTTGGCTGGTGAAATAATGGCTTTATTTGCTTCTTCCTTTATAGCGGCTCTGATTCAGCAAGCCACGACAGTTAAAAACAAGGATATCAGAAAGTTTTTGGATGGCATCTATGTGTCTGAAAAGGGAACAGTGCAGCAGGCTGATGAGTAAGACCTCAGGTAGGTTCACATATTTATAGTTGATGGAGCTTGTTAGACTGAAAGTTATTAAATCAATACTTGCCTGTAAAGGATATCATAAATGAATTTGTTTTACTCTGTATATAAAGAACAGAACTTTCTGGGCAGGAATATTGATGAAAGTTTATGTGTATTGTGTTTCTTTTTACAGTTATCCTGCTCCAGAAACAAGATTCTTCATTTAAGTACTATTTGGGGTGTCTTTTGGGACAATAAAAGACTTGTATTAATTTGGTGCATGCTTGATCTTTTCTGATTAGTTAGCAAATAGGTCAACTGCTCTGAGAAAAACACAACAGATATTTTTCTTTTTCTTCATGGAAACAAGTGGCTTAAAAGAATAACAGGATACTTCAGATAACAGGCATGTAGTATCACTGACAGACAGTCATCCTGGTGAATGTTCAGTGGGCACTTTGGCGGGAAGATCCTAGAGGTGTTTGACTTTGGCCCAGGCATAAAGACTATTTGGTGTGCGGATGTGTCTCAGGAAGGACTGAAAAGTGACAATCCTCAGTACGTTATTGGCTGTAATTCAGCTCTGAGGAGGTTGATGGAGGATCAGGCATTGGGGGCCAGCATGGATTACATGCATGAAGCAGTGAACTTGGGGTTCCTCTGGAACATTGGGGGTGCAGGCTTTTAATATAGTATTCTAGACATAGTAAGCCCGTGTTTTGTGTAAATTACATCCTACCCACCTGGTGAAGAGTGAACCCAGCGAACACTGAGACCAGACCTATAGTGACTTTCTTGGACAAGTTCTATCATGGCCTCAAACTCCTAATCCTCTTGCCTCTACCTACTCAGTGCTAGGATCACAGGCAAATGCCACCACACCCAGCTTTTGATGGGCTCAAAAGAAAATTGTCCTGTGTGTGTGCACATGTACATGCAGTCAGTGTGTTGGCCTATTGCCTTTTCACCTTGTGTTTGAGGCAGTATCTGTCTTCCGCAGTGCTGGGGTACAGACTGCCCAATTAACTATGCTTCCCTGTGTGTCTATAGTCACGTGTGTCCAGAGGTGTCAGTTCCCCTGGAGCTGGAATTACACAGGGGAGTGATTGTCAACCACTAGATGGAGTTGTGAGAGCTGAACTCTGAAGGAGCAGCGGTAACAATTGCTGGGTGGTGGTGGTGCACCCCTTTAATCCCAGCACTCAGGAGGCAAAGGGACCAGGGTGGCCTCAAACTCAGAGATCCACCCGCCTCCCAGGTGCTAGGATTAAAGGGGTGTGCCACCATGCCTAACTAGTATATTTAATCCAAGCTAGGTTTGCACAATACCTCATACCCAGCTAAATCCTACAAGCTATGCAGTTTGTTTTTTTTTAATGGCCTCTGGTAGAGGCCTGTCCTTAATCCATCGCAGGAAGGTCAGGAATTTGAGGCTATGTGAGACCCTGTCTCAACCACAAAAAGGCCAGGTTGTGGCTCAGTTGACAGTGCCTTCCTAGTATTAAAGTCCTGCACTGCATATCTATGTGGCATGTACCTGTAATCCTGACCTTGCAGAAGGACAAGGGCTTCAAGGCCAGCCTCAGCTACACAGTTGACCAGTTTGGGAGAAAAAGATTGCCAGACACCATTTACCTCCAGCCAGATGGTTCAATATAAATAATTGACATCAACCATGTTGTTTGATAGCACTGAAGGATAAAACCTTTAGGCACAAGGTACTCGCCTCATTTCCCAGAGGCTAAACAAACACCA